TGAATATACCAGATTGAACTTTCCTGCCATAACACGTTACTTTAATCCTTCAAATAATTCAAATAATACTTCAGGAGTGAGGGACACGGCTTAGAACGGGCGTGTCGCCTGGCAGGACAGGAGAGTGTGTGCACCAGTCTGCCTTGATCTATGAATTCATGTCCGTGACACTCACTGCTGCCCACAGCTGTTTTATAGAAGGAAATTCCTTCACTTCATGAAAGTGTTTTAACCACACACACCTCTACACACACATGACGGGTGTTATTTTCCCCATAAGNTCATATGTTGTATCTTTTAACAGAAGTTTATGTTCTTGGGCTTAAATGGCTTCCCTGTTCACTTTACCTTGAAGTCACTTACTTAGGATGAACATTTTATTGATAAGCTAAAAGGGTTTATCTCGTTTACTGCTGGGTGACCAAGTCTCAGGCCTCTTTGGGGTCTGTAGGAGATAATCTTTTTCTGCTTTAACTGCTTATATCTGAAATGTATCTGGGGAATTCCCTGTTGTTGCAAGGACTATTGATAATTACATAGAGACCTGTAGGGGCCTCTTTTGGTATCTTGCTTTAGGCAGAAGTACTCAATGGCAGCAATCCAGTTTAAACACACTTATCTCTATATGAGGTGCTTAAAATGACTATACCAGATTGAATTTTCTGCTAACAGTTAACTCTTTAATCCTTCAAATAATTCAAATAATACTTCAGGAGGCGCCCAGGTGGCATCCTTACTAGGTGCCCGAATCACCTCAACTGGCTCCTTTCGACGCGATGATTAGCTTGCGTGGCATTTCATTGACGTTTTCCCTTCATGTGATTTAACACGGCTTCTACTTATAGATCCCTTTAGGACAGGGGTGTCAAACTCAAGGCCCGGGGGCCAAATCCGGCCCGCGACTTCATTTTACGTGGCCCCGCAAGAGCTTGCAAAGAATATAACACGTATATTACACGGTTATATGCCACTTTACAGAAGCAGATTGCCCATAAACTACACGTCCCACAATGCATCTTGTTTTGTGACATGCACACTGAAGAGACTTGCAATTATTTGCCCTGGACTTCTGCTTTCAGACGTAGTTCATTACTAAGTTATTATCCTATCCAATAATAAACCAATTTAGAAGCAATAATGTAATTTAATAAATTATTTTATATATGTATATTTATATAGTTACAACCGGCCCTTTGAGTGCAACCTTTATGTGAATGTGGCCCGCGATGAAATTGAGTTTGACACCCCTGCTTTAGGACATGCAGTAAATACCACAACAACATGCAATTTGTCATTTAAGCTTAAAGTAAATGTTTTGTTTGTTTGTTTTTCAAACAGGCGATTGGTATTTGTGTCCCGTGTGAAAAAGAAAACCTCAACGTTTTTATTTGATTGTCAGTCCATGACTTCACAAACGTACTTATTTGAAGCCAAATCCTGTCGGTTCTGTTGTGTTTTAGTTTTAGCTTTCTTTGAGTTGGCTGCTAACGTGGCAGACATGAGACTCAGGGTCGCTCATGAGGTTTCGCTGCAGTCTGTCCTGGCTGAGTGCAACTTTCTTCTTGTGTCGGAGGTTCAAGTGAAGCGTTTGTTTTCATCCAGATCGTGTCACAGCAGATTAGCCGCTGATGCAGAGCAGAGCTTTCCCACTAACTGGGTTCTTCTTTTTCTAATCCCACCTTCATACTGATGGAGAGGCTTCGATGCTTTGGTTTAGGCTCGCGTTAGCTGATCTGAGTATGTTAGTCATCTCTTTACTGGCACACTTTTCACTTCTTCCCGTCGTACACTCTTTCTCAATTCTTCCTCCTCCTTCTGTTCCCCTTTCATCCTTCACTCACTCCCTTCTCTCCTCTTCCTTCTTCTTCCTCTCCAAAACCCTGTCTCTGGATTTTCAACTGTCCTTATCTCCTCTTCCTCTCCTCTCTTTCCTTCCTCTCCTTCTCTCCTTCCTCTCCTCATCTCCTCTCCTCTCATCTTCCATCCTTCTTCTCTCCTCCTCTAACCAATAATCTCTCCTCTCCGTCTCCTCTCTCTCTCATCTCTCATTCCTCCTTCTCATTCTGCCTCTCATTCTCTCTCCTACCTCTCCCGTCTCCTCTCATCTCCTCTCTCTCTCCTCTCATCTCCTCTCTCTCCTCCTCTCTTCATCTCTACTCCTTCCTCTCATCTCCTCCTCCTCTCAATTCCTTCCTGTCTGGGTCTCTCCTCCTCGTCCTTCTCTCTCCTTCATTCCTTCCTTCATCTCTCTCCTCCTCTCCTCTCCTTCCTCCTCTCCTCTCCTTACTTCATCTCCTCTCTTATCTCTCTCTTTCTTCCTTCTTCTCTCCTGCTACTATCTTCATCTTCCCTTCTATCATCTCTCTCCTCTCTCTCTCTCTTCCTTTCCTCATCTCCTCTCCTTCATCTCCTCATTCCTCTTCTCCTCTCCTCTCTCTCCCTCCTTCCTCTCTCTCCTTCTATCTCTTTTCTCCTCTCTCCTCTCATCTCATTCCTCTCCTCTCTCAATTCTCTCATATCCTTCATCTCCCTTCTCTCATTCCTCTCCTCTCCTCTCATCTCCTTCTCCTCATCCTCTCATCTCTCTTTCATCTTCCTCTCCTCTCTCTTCTCCTCTCATCTCCTCCCTTCCTCTCAGTCTCTCTCCTCTCTCCTTCTCCTTTCCCTCCTTCTTGTCCCTCCCCTCTTCTTCGTAAGCCTTCTCTTTTCTTCTCGTCGTCTTTGCTTTGACTCTCCGTGTTTCCCATTTTCTCTGCTCATATTGTGTCTCCTCCTTCCTCTCTTTTGAATGCTTCAGTTTGGCCTCCTTCCTTTCTCTTGCCTCCTAGTTTGCTATGTCTCCTCCTCTCCTCATCCCCTTCTCTTCAATCTGTTTGATCTCATCTCTCCTTTCTCTGTTTTTTACGTTTTCTCCTTCTTAGGTTATCTTTACCTCTTGTCTCTCTTCCCTTGTTCTCCTTATATCCTTCCAATCCTCTTTTTTCAAATCCTTTCTTCCTCCTTTAAGTTTGCTTTTTATCTCTCTCCTCCTTTTCCTACTTTCTTATTCTCCTTCCTTGTTCTCTTTCCTCTCCTCCTTTTTCCACATCCATGGGAATGTGTCCTCTTTCTTAAAACTTTCCTCTTGTCTCCTTCCTCCTTTCTTCGTTCATTTTTCAAACTAGCCTCATTCCTTCGTGGCTCTTGTGGTTCCTATTTCTGTCACTGATCCCTCTCCTCCTTTTAAAAAACCTCCTCCTCCTGTTTTCCTCTGGCTCCTTTTGGTCTCTTGCCTCTCCTCATCTCTCTTTTCATCCCGACGTGCAAAAGAACCCAAAATATTCAACACAGATCCTCCTCCCGTTTCTCTCCCGGTGTATCGCTCTCCTCTCTCCTCACTTTCAACTGACGAATTAAAGACTTAGATTTTCACTGTTGTTTTGAAGTAACCTGATCACACACACACACCACACACACCACACACACACCAAAACACACACAACAACCACCACACACACACACACACACAACCACACCACCACCAACACCCCACCTCTGAGGGGTGTCAGTGACGGATTTGGCTGGGACAACTCGTGATTTAGTACCTCTCTGTTAATTCAACTACATACAGATCAGCGGCAGCTGTTCAGCCGTCTGGTGTGTGATGTGT